CCCCCTTCCTTGACTCGCTGGTCCTACTCACAGGCCGAAGATACGAGGGTGGAAGGTGCCTTTCCTGTGACCATGCTGCCGGGAGATGGCGTGGGGCCGGAGCTGATGCATGCTGTCAAGGAAGTGTTCAAGGTGAGTAGCCTGTGGTGAGGGTTGCGGGATTGATCTGGATACAGGAATGATGGATTGGGTTGTAAAGTTGAGACTTGACCTTGACCCTGTGCTTCTTTTGGAACTTGTCCCCGAAGGCTGCTGCTGTCCCGGTGGAATTCCAAGAGCACCACCTGAGCGAGGTGCAGAATATGGCCTCGGAGGAGAAGTTGGAACAGGTGCTGAGCTCCATGAAGGATAACAAGGTTGCCATCATTGGTATGTATGCCACCCTGCTCATGTGTCATTTAAAGTCAATTGAGCAGTGTTCATGCAGCCTTTTTCTGGAGTGTGTATACATCAGCTGTCCAGATTTCCCTCTGCTCTTTCTTCGCAGTGGGAACCCAGGTCAGCTCTCAGCCATTTATGCAGGAAGGTTTTAAGAGTTCGGCATCTGCGGAGGCTTTATCATCCATCATCAGATCTTGTGTTTCTGAGTGCCAGTTCCAACTATTCCTTCTCTTCTTTTGCTCTACTTTATTCTTCTCATCAGATATTTTTGGCTTTTAATTTTTCCCTTATAGCCCATTTTTCAAATCTGTCCTCTTGGAAAAAAGTTTACCAGGGCCAACGTTTGCATAGGAAATTCAATCCTTTATAACCTGGCCTTAAGCTTCTCTGCTTTCATTTGCACATCACTTATTTTCTCTAATCAAGGACAATTTTGTGTTAAGATTCCTAACCAAAGGATTAACCAGAGTACCAGCTTTTTCATAACATTTCCTATTAGTACCAGAGAGGATTCCTCCTCTGTGCTCCTATGCATATTGTTAATCATGGTGCTTGTTATATGATCTGACTCCCCCAGTGTATCATTTGCTCCCTGAGGGCAGGAGTTGTGTGGTTTTGATCGCCATCCCGATTGCTTTACATGTAGTCAATTTTCAGTTAGTATTGGCTGAGAAGACAGACAGAAACATCAGTGGGAGTCACTGATTCCCTAATATTTTTTTCTCAACGCATGCTCTTACATAACCTCAAAAAATAACTTTTTTAGTTGTTTTGAAATGTCAACATAAATGTGGTGACCAAAACTAAAGTAGTTCACTAAATTTTTCTGATTTTAATGACATTATTCTCTTTTGCCTCTTGCCAGAAGCAATAAAGGGTGAGATTTGGGACTAGGAGTTGGGAGTCTGGGTTTCATGATTTCACTAGGGAGACTGGACAGGGGCCTCTACTCCCTTGGGCTTGGCCTGTACCTAACACTGTTTCCCCTCCCTATACTTTGTTTCCATAGGCAAGATCTATACCCCGATGGAATATAAGGGGGAATTAGCCTCCTATGATATGCAACTGAGGTAGGTGGATGGTTGGACTTGGGTCAGAGGGACACTGGGCTCTTGGCATAGAACTGATGGCTTTGTCTACCTTCAGGCGTAAGTTGGACTTGTTTGCCAACGTAGTCCATGTGAAGTCACTTCCTGGCTACATGACTCGACACAACAATCTAGACCTAGTGATCATTCGAGAGCAGACAGAAGGGGAGTATAGCTCTCTGGAACATGAGGTGAGGCCCCAGAAACAGGAAGACAAGGATGGATGTAGGAGAAAGTTGGGGCTCCTCCTTGGCCTTCTTAGTGTTACCAGTCATTTCTCTCTTAACCAGAGTGCCAAGGGTGTAATTGAGTGCTTGAAGATTGTCACTCGAACCAAGTCTCAGAGGATTGCAAAGTTTGCATTTGACTATGCCACCAAGAAGGGGCGGGGCAAGGTCACAGCTGTCCATAAGGCCAACATCATGTAAGGCACGCATGACTTTTTGTGAGCTCGGTTCCTGGAGAGGTAGCTCCCTAAGTTCTCTTGTTTGACTTTTGTCTCTGGTTCATGAATAGGAAACTTGGGGATGGGTTATTCCTGCAGTGCTGTGAGGAAGTTGCTGAACTGTATCCCAAAATCAAGTTTGAGACAATGATCATAGACAATTGCTGCATGCAGGTAGGCCCTTCTTGTGCTTCCAGAGGGAAGATAAGGGAGTGGAATTCTCTTCTTCATGCTCATCTCTCACCTCTAGCTGGTGCAGAATCCTTACCAGTTTGATGTGCTTGTGATGCCCAATCTTTATGGGAATATCATTGACAATCTGGCTGCTGGCCTTGTTGGGGGAGCTGGTGTGGTCCCTGGTGAGAGCTACAGTGCAGAATATGCAGTTTTTGAGACGGTGAGCAAAACTACTTTTTTTGTCAGTCATCTGTAACCACTCAGGTCTGCTTTCATTCCTCCCTTGCCCCAGTGCCTCATTTCTTAAATGACTATGTCCTTCTTTCCTGTGTACTTATCTGTGACCCTGGCCTGCCCTCCTGTTCCATAATGCCCTTTCTGAACCTCAGCCTCTGCATATGCCTCTCTCCCAGTGACTCTGGCTTCCTTTTTTCTATAGGGTGCCCGGCACCCATTTGCCCAGGCAGTAGGCAGGAATATAGCGAATCCCACGGCCATGCTGCTGTCAGCGTCCAACATGCTAAGGCATCTCAAGTAGGTCATGGGAGGTTGAGGTGGGTGGTGGGTGGAGGCTGGGTGTTGTAAAGGGAAGAAAATGAGGGAGAAGGTGTTGTGATTGGAGTCTCAGTTTCTTCTTGTCCACGTTGACAGTCTAGAATATCACTCCAGCATGATTGCAGATGCAGTGAAGAAGGTGATCAAAGTTGGCAAGGTGAGTTTTAGAAAGGTGTTGTGTTGGTTTCAGGGCCTCGGCACCAGCCTCTGGGGAATCTGAAAGGAGCTTTTTCTTTCAGGTTCCCACAGTATCTGCTGTGACCTAAGGGCTGTTGTTCTCTCTTTCGGCTGTTTCATCCTCTTGGTCTCCTTTGCTGCTCTTTAGTTCCCATCTGCCCTTTCCTTTCCTGCACCACACACTGTCCCTTTCTTGGGCCATCTGAATGCAGACCTTGCAGTTTTGGGGGTGGAACAGCAGGGGGTCAAGATAGCAGGCCTGCTTCAGCTCCATGCTGCTCTCCCATCTGGTCTTTCATTTCCTTTGAGGTACTCTCATCGTTCTGACATGTGCCCTTCCTCCCCCATCCCACTGCCTACCCAGCCTGCCTTAACTGCAGCACAGCTCTCAGTAGAGCTCAGAAAGGTGGGCAGGTCTCTCTAGTCTTGGTAAACTCCTTTCATTCTGGCTGCATTATTTCTTCTGTCATGTTTTTGGGCTCCATCTTACCATACTCCCCCATCCCCTTCATGGGTTCTTTTTTCTTCCCCATGGCTGTTGCCTGTGGTGGCTATAGGTTCGGACTCGAGACATGGGCGGCTACAGCACCACAACCGACTTCATCAAGTCTGTCATCGGCCACCTACACCCCCATGGGGGCTAAAGCCCTTTAACTCCCTCCAACTTGAAAAAGGACCATGCTACACCTTCTACACATACCTTCAGTACAGTGGACCAGGGAAGAGAACTGTGAACACCTAGACAGATCAAAATTACTTTTTTGGGCAGAAGCTAGGTTGTCATGGAAGTAGCTTCCAGAAGGGGAATCTCAGTCTGTGCTGGGTGGTTTGGGTTGGGGTCCAGGCCACAGGATGATGGCAACTTTTCCCCACAGGTTCGAACCTCTGACATGGGAGGTTATGCCACTTGTCATGACTTCACCGAAGCCGTCACTGCTGCCCTGTCCTAAGTCCCTACCCATACCTATGTAAAGCATTCAATAAACAAACAACCAATTTTTGCAGATTTTTTTATTGGGGTTTATATGGGTTGGGACAGTACCCTTAGCTATGCCCCTCCCCTCAAGAAATGTCCACCATTCTAGTCCTCCTGAGGTGTTTTCTGGAACTTTCTCTTTTTCTTTGTGCCACTCTTGTCAGCAGTAGCTTCAGGCCCACTGCTAGCTGGCTCCTCCTTGGAAGAAAATTTCCTTTTTTTCTTGGGGACACTCATGTTTGCTGCCTCTTCGGGGGCCATTTCCTCCTGAGGTGCAGACTTCTTCCTTTTAGGACTAGGAAGGCTTGTGCTGGCAGAAGCGCTGTCCTCAGGACCACTAACCAGCACCTCCTTGGAGAGAGCTTTCTTTTTCTTTCGTTTAGGGGAAGAAACAGGTGGCTCTTCTTCCATTCCGTTTTCCTGAGGCGCCTCCTGGGGCTTTGGTTTTTTCCTCTTTTTCGGTTTTTCACATGTTTCCTGAAGGGGGAAAGCAGACATAAGAACAGTGTTACTTATGGTATGCATAGCCACAGCCCAATCATTACATTACCATTGGGGCAGAAGAGCAAACTGCCTAATGCTTCTGAAATGACCTTCACTGCATGGCACACTTTGGTAATTACCCTCAGAGCTATTCCCAATTACAGAATGTGAAATTTTCTTGACCCTCTTAAAGAAAACCCCTGAATACTAGTAACATGCAGAATTCCCAGGAGGCCCTGAAATGGAATCACTAGTTGCTGAAAATGAAAACACGGGGACAATTCTAGACTGTCACACTGCAGATTCCCTGCCCCCACCCCCAATATGAGACATTATCACCTCTATACACAGAACAGGGAGAGCAGGAATTCACACTACCCCCGGTTTGAGGACTCCTAGGAGGCAGCCGAGGACAGAACACACTTGCCCATGGAAATGGGCCATGTGCTACAACCAGCTCTCTGGGCTCTTGATCAAGTTCTCTCAGCACCTATCTCCTTCCTATAGAATCAAGAGGTAGTTTTAGGTGTTTTGGTCCAAAAGCCCAAGCTCCAGACCATGGCTGGATATAGTACATCCTTTCTCTGCTGTTGAGAACCCTATTTATTGCTTAGGACCTGCCTAAAGGGCTAACCTGTTGCTGACTGACCTCACATTCCTCTGGAGCACTACTGTTTTCTGACGAGGCCAGAGCCAGTGCAGCTAGTCGCTTCTTTTCCTTCTTCAAGCGTTTCTTTTCCTGTTTTTCCAGCTTCCTGGTAATCTCAGCAGCTACTTCCTCTGCCTGGCAAAAGTAAAGTGCTGAAAATCTGGAAGACCCCCGGCTGGCCACCACCTTTCTGGCTTTGCTGGATCAGGCTCATTAAATCAGTTTTCTTCCCTCCAGTTCACAAGGTCAGGGCAAAACAGTTCATCACCTCCAACAGTCCGTGGTTCTCAGCCACCCAACATAGCACACACACTGACCTGAACCATTGCTTCCTTCATGACTTCTAGGTTTTTCCGTGGAATTTCTCCAGTCTCATAGAAAGATAGCCGCTCCTCAACTTGCTCTCGGAGCTTCTCCCCGAATACACTTGTAGGCACCTCTAGAGGCGGTACATGGGTAATAAGGCCTGTCAGAACCCCTGAAATGACAACCACATCCTACTCCCCTAGTCCCTTTATCCTCAGCTTCACTCAGACCCAAAGCATCAACACTCGCTAGGTGAACTCTGTTGACGAAAAATCTTACCATCATTGTAGAAGCTAAGGGAGTTGTCAGCCTCCCCTCCCTCCCAAACCCATTTTCAGCTGCTAACCTCACCCTCTTACCAGAGAAGCAATCAATCCGCGACGCAATACTGCATTTGTTTGCTAGATATCGGGAGATGCGGCCTTTGTTCTTGGCAGCTGCTCGGCCAATGAAGGTGGAATGGAAAATGAGTCCGTATTTTGGTGTGTTACCCCTTGTCTTTAGGGCTCTGTGAGAACATTCAAGTAGACAGTTTAAGATCAGAACATTCAACTGCATTAGCCAAGCTCCCTCCTCCCAGTTCTGCCTCAGGCTTGGTTGGATTTTCTACCTCAACACATGCCAACCCAGCTCCCAGAGGCGTAAGATGGAAAGCATCCAATGTCGCTGACCTGGAAACTTGGTCCCTTTGCTGGGCCCTGGGAATCACTCAGACACTAGGACTGGACATCACCCCCATAGCAGAGGCCTGTACAGGTCAGGGAGTCCTGGTTACCATCACCGTGATTCCCAAACAATCAGTGGGCACCAGAAGTAGCACCTGATTACGGGCAGGTGCCTTCACTGGTACCTGAACAGGGCCTTTTCAGCCCCAAGGATCTGTACTGTGGACGCTGGGTACTTGGCCAGGTTGGTGAGGCTGCCAGCATGAGCAATAAGACGTGCACCTACCTGGAGAAAGATCCAAGGGAGAAGTCAGGCTAGAGGAACTTGACTGCTAGTTCACAACCCCTACTCTTCCTCCAAACCATGCACAACTGAGGAAGACATGGTTGGTCAGAAGTACAGCAGTGCAGAACGCTAACATTTTTATTCCCCCATTTTTGTGTTCCCCATGACGCACCGCTTCCCCAATTAAGGCTGACAGGCTGGGGGCTACTTGGCTCATCTTGGAGCGAAGGTAAGTATGTAGGCTCTGGCGATACTCTGACAAAGACACCACACGACTGGAGAAGCTCTCGATGTTTATCAAGTCGATAGCAGATATGTCCATGCCTAGGAAACACCTAGTGTGAACAACAGGACCAGCTGCTCAGAATCTCGTACCTTACGCATGTTTCCGCGCGCTGCACTGACCCATGGAAGACCGAGAGGCATCCAGAATGGCCTTAGCTTTGGCCCCATCCATTGTCAACTCTTCAAGCTTCTCCAACTTTTCCTCATTCAACTCTCTACGGTTTCCAATGAATTGGGCCAGGCGACAGTATGTGGCATTGTCATTGATGATCTTTATGAGCTCCGGAAAGTGATATCCATACCACTCCCTGCAAAAGAGGCACAACACTCCCTGAACCTAGCTGCCAAATCCCAGTGAAACTTTCCACTTTGCTCCAGGGAAATGGGAACAAACTAAGTCACGTCCCCCTCAAATCCATGTCGCCCCATTCACAATACAGACCAGACACAGTGGCCTAGGCTGGGGTGTACATGGGGCATGTTTGCTTTACCTCCTCTTTCTATACAGTCAGTGTAAAAACACAGTCTGTGGTAAGCACCAGGAGGCCATGTGCTCCAGTCCAGGGTTATACTCTCAGGGATAATCAGCCCTATCCAACCTTAAGTTTGTAGTATTAGCTGAACTACAAGCCAACAATCCAGGGTCACAGGCAGCCTCTGTACCTTACCTGACTCGCATAGAAAACGTATTGATGTCTTTATCCAGCTGGTCTAGGAGACTTATGGACTGGATGATCATGTTGTCCACCCGGTTCACATTAAACTTAACTTTGGCACGAGAATAGCTATGTCCCAGCCCTAGTTGGGCTTTACAAGCTGATAGGTCAGTCAGACCCTTCACCAGATTATGGAAGTGAAGACGAACTCCTAAGAGGAAGGCAGGACAGGACTGTGAAGAGGTGCTCCAAGGTAGCTCCTGCACACGTGGGCACCAGGAGAAAGAGATTTTCCTATAAGCAACCTCTACCACCCTAGGTTTCCAAAATTCCTCATGAAGTTACCAAAAATAGGATTAGGGGTGAAAGAGATGGCTCAATGGTTAAGAACACTTTCTATTCTTTCAGAGGACCAGGGTTCAGATTCCCAGAAGCTACCTGGCAGCTCACAACTGGTAACTCCAGTTTCAGGGAATCCAGTACTTCTTCTGGCCTCTGGGGGCACTCCATGCACATGGTGCATACATACAGGTAGACGAAACACGTGGACACCTAATTTCTCAAAAAGGTTATCTTACCTCGAAGGATCTCGGCTATCACACCTCCAGTCTGGCAGTTGTACCCTAATTCCTCCTGTATCGCAGCTCCAATCTTAGGGTCTCCAACCCCCAACAGTACTTTCTTCTTTTTAGATGGCAGGTATGTCTCCAAGAGGAGGCGGAGGTCCTCATGAACAACACCTTGGGACAAAGAAAGTACATTGTAAAGGATTCCACCCCCACAACGGACTACACAAGAACAGGCAGGGGCTACTCCTCCCTTCAGGCATTGCTCAGAGACATGGAGACATCAGTGATCATACTCAGGGGATTGACAGACTCACAAGTCATCACTGCAAAGCCTGCGTCAACCATAGAAAACTATTGCAATTGTGAAAATACTAAATGAACTGTTAAAACAGTTTTCAAATACTGCCCGACTATTATTTGTACAAGAGGACACTGTCAGGAATATCTTGCTCAGGGTTCAACTCACCCTCAGACACAGCATTGGCATTTTCCAAGGCAACCTGGGACGAGGAAAAGGGACAAAAGGCCACCAGGCGAACGATGTTGTGGAACTTGCCGAGGTTGAGCACACACTCTTCCACCTGTGGGGAAAAGGATGCATGGCTTCTCTCCCTGGTTCTAGCGTCCACAGAACAATGACGGAGACGCCATGGGCCGGTAGTTCATTAAAACATACATGCCTGGGCCCCACATCCCACGCTCTACTTTAATCCGCAAAAAATGGCGCCAGGTAGGCTTATCTCCAACCGCTCCTCAGGAGATCCTACACACAAAGATGCCCGGTTCCAGCACTTTCACAGAGCGCACCCCCCACCGCGTGGGGCTGGCCACGTGGGACCGCGCGGTGCATGCTGGGGCTGGGCGGCCTCGGGCTGCGCTGCACCGTTGAGCCCACCCACCTGCGGCAGCAGCAGGCTGATCTCCTCCACTTCCTTCAGCGCCAGCAGCGCGTAGCCGACCGCATGCTCGAAGAGCACGTGCAGCAGAACCTGGAATCAGAGCGGGCGGGCGTCAGCCAAGTCCCCCAGTCCTCCGGGCCGCTCCGAAAGCAAGCCACAGCCCAGACCCCTGGGTCCATCCCAAACCCGAGTCCGAATCCGAATCCGAATCCAGGCATTCGCACGGCTCACGACCCTCAACCACTCCTCACCATGGCGCCCGCTCGCAATGCGACTGGCGCGCTCCGGAGCGCGGAATCGAGCTCAGAAGACCACGCCTTCTCCTGTTCAGCCAATCAGAGGCCGGGGACGAAACCATTTCTGGGTCTTCGGAGGGGTCTGCGGACGTGGTATCGTCCTTAGGGCGGGCTGCGGGGTGGTGGACGGAAGCCGGTAGGGCCTTCCGGTCCTCTGCAGCTGCGCCGGCGGCGGTTGCCGGGCACACGCGGTGTCTGCTGGGTGTTCGGGTCGCAGACCGGAATGGCGAGGTGCGTTCTCCGTCTGTCATGCTCTTGTGACCTCGCTTCCCGGCGGCCGAGCGCAGTGAGGAATCGAGAGGCTCAGCGACGAGCGTCGGCCCGGGACCTCTGGCCTGGCCTACGCCTGCCGCCGTGGGGACCGTGAGAGCCCCAAACGGCCGCATTTGAGCATGTCGCTCTCCCACACGAACGGGGCCTGGCGGCCTGGCGCAGTCTGACAAACCCTGCAGGAAACATGGCGGCTCCTCGGGGCTTTCGTTCCTGCTCTTGTTGTTCAGAAGTTTGATAGTTCAGGCAAGAGCCTGGAAAAGGACGATTTACCTTTTCATAGGTCTGTTACTCGGTTCATTGGACTCAGCTCCTTTTGTGGAGCCATGTGCTGCTCACGGTTGGAAAAGAGGCCCTAAATTCTTTGATCGCGTGGCTCTCTGGAGCAGCTTTCCTGGTTTCCAGGGCAGGTTTTAGGCATGCTCAGATGATTGATTTAAGATTACTTAAGAAATTACTTAGCCGGGCGTGGTGGCGCACGCATGTAGTCCCAGCGCTTGGGAGGGAGAGGTAGGCGGATATCTGAGTTCAAGGCCATCCTGGTCTACACAGTGAGTTCCAGGACATTTGGGGCTACAGGAGACCCTGCTTCAAAGAGACAAAAAAAAAAAAGAAAGAAAGAAATTAATTTTGCTGTAAGTAATGTCAGAATAGTTAATCCCCAAACTGGTCATTTCGAAATAGTAAATGCCTTGGTAAATTATTCTAAGGTGATTTTATTTTTTACTATTATTATTTTTTGGTCTTTTTGAGATAGGGTCTACTTGTAGCCCCACCTAACCGTCTCTCCAGTCCTGGGATTACAGGCCTGTGCCGTCTGTCAGTGAATTAGCGCTCTTCCAACTGAGCTCTCTACCACTAGGCCCTAGGGGAATTTAAAAAAAAAAAGAAAAAAGGCCAGTCTTTAATCCCAGTATTTAGGAGGCAGAGGCAAATAGATCTCTGAGTTGGAGGCCATCCTGGTTTACATAGCGGGTTCCAGCCCAGCCAGGGATACATAGTAAGACCCTGTCTCAAAAGCAAAAACAAAACAAAACAGTGCCCTCTATTACAATTCTGACTCCACTGGGCATCTGTAGAGTACGATATCAGATACCATCTCCTCCTTTCCTTTGAGCTCTTTGATAATTAATTGCTCCTGCCTAGGAGACAGACCTTTCCCACTAAAGTAGAATTTTTTGAAGACCTTTGGTTTCTCTTTTTCTCAAGGTGTCCTCCCCTCTACTCTCTGAATGATCTTTCTAAAGCAGAATATCCATGTTTTATTTATGGATGCTCATAGTGATATGAAGTAATGGGAGAATTGGTGTCCTTCCTGTGGTAGTTATTCTCCAAAAGGCTACTAGTGATCCATGCCTCCCGATAACCAAGTTCTGTGTCCCATACTGAGCCGTGCAGATTGGGTCTTTGGCAAAAGTGATTTTGTGTATGACCTTGAGTTGTATAACCTTGATTTGCCTCGTAGGAAGTTGAGCTGCTACACTGGTGAGACCTCACCAATACAGAGGGAGAATCCCTGAAACTACGTGAAAATGGGGAGATGGCCAGTCTCCATTAACTTCTCCACCAACTACTAGACATTGTGTGTCCCAGCTCTTTCCACTGTCTGAAGCTGTATGAGACCCCAAAAATGATCAGAAGAGCCACATAGTTGTACCTTGTCTACTCACAGAATTATGAGAATAATGTGGTTTTTTTAAAGCCATTAAATTTATGAATGACTGCAGTGAATATGAAGCAGAGTATGCAAACCTGGGTTGAAGCCCCAGCCCTGCGACTTACTGTGTGACCTGGGGTTAGTCACCTGAACTTGTGATTTCATTTCTTCAGAACAAAGATTAAAGACTCATTCATCTTGCTGGGCATGGCGGTACATGCCTTTAATCAGAGACAGGCGAATCTCTGTGAGTTCCAGGCTAGCCTTAGGCTAGATAATGAGACCCTGTCTCAAAAAACCAAATAATTAAAAAAAAAGCACCCCCCCCCACCAGGTTCATCTTTTCAACAAACCTTTACTGAACATCTAGTATAGGATCAGGTATGAAATAGATGTGGCCCTGGCATGTAGTGGAAACTCAAATGCTAGTGGTCATCTTTTTTGTGTGTGTGCATTTTACTGTTACCGATTTTTTAAAACCTGTGATGCCTTCCTTTCTTGTTTTTTCCTTCTCTTTTTGTGATACTAGTGATTGAACTCAAGGCCTCAAGGGTGCTAGGCAACTGCTCCATCACTGAGCTGTATTCCCAGCCCACTTTTTTGTCCTTTTATCAATAAACACAACATTTAAAAAAAATTATTATTTTTATTTTATGTGTATGCATGTACTGCCTGCATGTAGGTAAGTGCACCATGTCGTGCGATGCCCGTGGAGGTCAGAAGAGGCTGTTGGATCCCCTGGGACTGGAGTTAGAGACAGTTAGCTGCCATGTGGGTACTGAGATTCGAACCCTGGTCTTGTGCAAAAACAGTCAGTGTTCTTAACTGCTGAGCCATCTCTCCAGCCCCAATAAACACAATATTTTATATAATTTCCTAACACCTCATTTTTTTTTTTACACATCCACCTGTTTATTGCTCTCCATACTTTAGCCATTAACTTACAGAAGTAGACAGTTGTCTCTAAATACAATTAAGTTTCACAAGGGTAAACAGTTACCAATACCATTTTCAACTTCCCGTGGCAGTAAATAGACATTTACTGTCAGTGATTAAATTATGGAAATTGGAGACTATTCAGATGGTAAATTTGCTAGTTGTATCCTTTCTAGTTGAACAGTCTTGTTAAGAGTCCTCTGTCTTACTTGACTCTTGAAAAAATGGCACTCTCACAGCATAGTGTTAGGGACAGAAAGGGATGCTTCAGGTCTTTGTGCTCAGGTTTGAGGGCTGTGTCTTGAGCCATTATTTCTACTGTATAATGGCTGCAGTAGGCTTGTGGCCAGGCCCTTGCGGTGAGTAACACGTAGTCCTACCATGATACACAATGCGTTTTAGCTATGGGCCTTCTTTAGGTTTTTGTGGTTCCGTGCTGCTTGGTGTTTGTGTTCCTTCCTGGAGTCATGCACTTGAAAACTTCTTCCCAGAGAACGAATTACTAGAGGCTGTCCCTGACTTTGAGGCTATAGGCTGAGCATCTTTTATTCAAAATTTATTTAGTTCATACTGAAAGGGAAGGGAATTAAACTTCACCTCTTCAAAGGAAGGTGAGTCAAAGAATGTAGACATTTTGGGGCTGGAGAGATGGCTTAGCAGTTAACACTGGTTGTTCTTGCAGAAGACCTGGGTTCGAATCCCAGCACCCACATGGCAGCTAACAACTGTCCTAACTCCAGTTCTAGGGGATCAGACAGCCTCTTCTGTCCTCCGTGGGCATTGCATGACACGGGTGTACTTACCTACATGCAGGCAATACATGCATATACATAAAATATTTAAAAAATGAAAAAAGAACATAGACATTTAACAAATGGACAGCTGTTTTGAGTGAGGGCTATGGGCTCCCCAGGTGTGGATTTGCTTCAAGCTTCAAGCCATGAGGCACCTGGGTCTTCCATTTTTCTGTGTAGATCTCACTGTTGCACTTTGGAAGGGATCAGACACTGAGCCACTATATCTTTGTCATTTAGCCCAGCTTTTAACTAACCATATCATTTTTGTGTAGGTTAGCCTAGAGTTACTTTTGGCAACACTGATGGAGATCTATGGAAATAGAAGGAACATCTTAAAATCCAATTACAAGAGTTTCAAGAAAGGAAAATGCATGGAGCTGCCACAAAGTGGTGGTATTTTGTACAGTTTGTGAGAAAAATCACATTCAATTTGAAAAGGCTGCTAGCAGTTCCTGGACCCTTTTCTCAAACATGGAAAGAAGCCCTATAATATTCTTTGGAAGTTACACATGCATGTGGCATCTCTTCTCACAGATGCAGATAAATGAGAAGTTTCTTAGGAAGATCATTTAGCCCAGTGGTCCTTGGCATTTCTGGCAGTGACAACCTAGCAACTTCCAAAGGCCACCGTTGATTGTAGGGCAAATGGTATTCATCACCTAGACCAGGGATGACTGATATGTTATTTGTTGAACACTTAGCATAATATTTGGCATGCTAGCTGTACATGTGTCAGTCTGTTACACTTTACAACACAATTTGAAAATTGGCCCATTTTCCAGACATAGTTCAATGATAGAGATAGCTCAATGTTCTTTTTATAGTCTTGACGTTTTTTTGTCTGTAGTGGATGCATGTGAGCGTATATGCACAGTGCACACTGTGTGGAAGGCAGACAGCAACACTGGATGTCCTCCCCTGTGCTTCTCTGCCTTACTTTTTGAGACTGTCTTTCACCAAATCTGGAGTTCACTGGCAGCAAGTCCACAGGACCCTCCTGTCTCCACCTCTCCGATGCTAGGGTCATGGCAGTGCACCACCACTTTCAGTTTTTTTTTTTTTTTTTGGTCTCTTTGAGACAGGGTCTCCCTGTAGCCCCAGCTGACCTGGAACTCACTATGTAGACCAGGCTGGTCTGGAACTCACAGAGGCAGTCTGCCTTTGCCTCCCGAGTACTGAGACTATAGGCATGCGCCACCACACCTGGCCACTTTGAGCTTTTTATATGGATGCTAGGGATCCAAACTCAGGTCCTTATGCTTTTATGGCAAGCACTTTCTTGAGGCATTTCTTCAGACCTCTCAATGTTCTTTATGCTTCATTTACTCCA